CCAGGAAAAAAGTCAGAATTATAATAGAAAGATAGGCTAAAGATTAGACCTACTTCTGAACAAGAACCAATTACTGAGCCTACCTCTATAAAGAAAATAAATACAAAAATAACTCTTGCAAAAACCAAACCTATCCTCTCAAGAAAAAAGAAAAGTCCCTCTGTAGTAGACTCAGCTTCTCAATATAATATAGCTAAAGATTTACTAAACTAATAGTTTAATACTATTTATGCTCAGATGCTACAAATCTCTAAGCAAAGATATAATCTAACTCAAGCCCTATGTCATTCTGTCCTAGCTCTGGTAAAGGAAACTAATCTAGTAAAGCTTTAAGTTAATATCAGAACCATAGCTACTAAGTGTTATATCAGAATTAAAAATAACCTAATATTAGCTGTTTTGGATTCCAGAGCTGCTGTCAGCATAATCTCTAATAAATTAATGAAAAAATTAAGACTTACTATTCAAGAACTCTTAAATACTATTATAATTATAGCAAATAGTAATAAGAAAAGAGCCTTAGAAAAAATAAAGAATGTGAAGTTAGCAATTAGTAGTATCTTAGTACCTACAAGCTTTTAAGTTATAGATTCATCTGATGAAACTATACTACTAGGCATAGATTGGTTTTAGAAAGTCTATATCTAGCTCTACTTCAATAAGCATAAACTATACTTTAGGTATTTGTAAAAAGAAATAGAGGTTTCTATATACCAAACTTAAAATGTGAAATTAAAGGTTCTCCTAAAACTAGACAATTACAATGATAATAATTTCTTTAACAACTATGAGATAGAGAGTTACTACTCTGATAGGCCTAATTTACAAGAAGAGAATCTATACATAAACCTTTAGGAAGACAAATATAGTCTAGCTATTTACTTAATAGCTATAAAAGAGATTCTAATACTAGAAGATGAAAAAGAAACTAAGACAAACTTTAAAAAATTAATAGAATAGTTAATAAAAGTAAAGACTTTAAACAAAAGTTAACATAAAAAAGTTACTACATTCTTTTTAGAGTTCCCTAAATTATTCACAACAGGACTCCATAAGCTTAGCCAATTCTCAGAAATGCAATATAAAATAAATACTGGAGATGCAAGACTTCTTAAACAAATAGTATATAGAGTAACATCTGATGCATAAGAATTCCTAAACAAAGAGATAGATAAGTTAATAGAAAATGACTTGATCTATAAGGTTCAGAGCCTTTGGTCATCCTTTGTAGTCATTGTACTTAAGAAAAATGGCAAAATATACTTATGCATAGACTATAAAAAATTAAATACAGTAACCAAAAAAGATAATCAATTGCTTCCTCAGATAGATGACTTACTAGATAGGCTAGAAAAGTCAAACTGGTACTCTACTTTAGATCTAGCTAGTAGTTACTAGCAAATCAGAATAAAACTAGAAGACTAAGAAAAAATAGTTTTTGTAACAATAAGAGGAGTCTACAACTTCTGAATTATGCCTTTTGGCCTCAGTTACTTTTTAAAGAACAATAAATAATATTCTATATGTGCATTTAGACAAGTTTGTTAAAGTATATTTGAACAATATTATAGTTTATTCCTCAACCTACTTTCACTATCTAAGTTATTTAAAGAAAGTTTTTGCCAAATTACATGATACTGGTCTCAGATTGAACTCGAAAAAATATTCTCTGTTTAGAAACTATATCCAATTCCTAGATCATATAGTAGGACAAGATGAGATTTGGTCTGATGAGAAAAAAATTATTAAAGTAAAAGAATTTCTCATTCCTACAAATCTAAGACAACTTAGAGGATTTATAGGTCTAGCCTCTTATTATTAAAGATTTATAAAAAGTTATATAACTATGACCAAGCCTTTACATAAATTGTTAGAAAAAAGAGTTAGATATGAATAGGCCTATAACAAGAACAAACTTTTTGCACACTAAAGACTCACTTTATATTCATATTTATAACTAGATACTCTGATTTTGAAAGGACCTTCTACTTGTATACTGATGTGTTTAGAGTAGGTCTTGGTGCTATATTATCTCAAAAAGATGATAGCAAAAGAGAATATACTATCGTATATGCAAGTAAAAGTCTGTTCAGAACTAAAAAGAATTATTCTGCTACTGAATTAGAATATTATGCTATAGTATAAGTAGTAGAATATTTTTACCACTACTTAGACTACAAATACTTCATAATAGTAACAAACTATTCTGCATTGAAATAGTTACAAAACTTAGTTTTTAAGGATAAAAAAGCCTGTTAAATCTTTAGATTGCAACTATATAATTTCATCATAGTATACAGGCTAGTAGAGTTCATAAAAATGCCAACTCCTTATCCTAAGTAGAAGAAATCTCTAAATATAAAAATAAATTGAAAAAATTTACAACCTAGTAGATCTTAAAAAAGATCTAATAGAGATCAATAGTCTAGCTATTAATTATAAATAGCAATATAATAACAACTAAAAATATGAACTAGTAGGAATTTATGAAGTAACAATAAATCTTAATGAGAAATAGAGAACTGCAGAATAGAATTCTATGCTAATAGAAGACATCTAGTAGGAATCTTATAGCAACTGAAATTACTATGATAATAATATTAGCTATGAACGACTCTAGAAATATAGCCTATTAATAAAGCAATTGGTAGTAGAATCTGATCATAAACTAATTTGGGCCCAACAAAATAGATATAGTTATATTACTGAAACTCAGACAATAGAAAATAATTCAGAATATCAAAAGAAAATTGAAGCCTACTTTATAGATACTCTACTAAATGATGATATAGATATAGATATAAAGTTCAGTGATACTAACTCTAACTATAGTATAGATTTCTAGTTTAACTTGTATCTGAGATACAAAGTATACTAGTGAGATACTGATAAAAGCATAGAGTTGCAAACTTGGAATAGGTGCAACAATTTGACTATAATCAAGAAATAATCTATTAAAAAAAAAAATTTATTAATAGTAATATTTTTTTAGTTTAATATAGTAAAAGAACAATAGAAAGAATTTTATAGAAAATAGTAACAAAAACTAAATTCAGTTTTTGTCAAAAAAATAAAAAAATAAAAAATTTTACCTACTCCCCTTTTTGATAAACCTAATGTTTAGTAGTTGGTTAGAATAGGTTAGAGCAAGGTTCAGGGCTTTATCTATTTTCAACTATTAAAAAACAAAAGTTAGCAATAGATTAGTAAACAATTAGAAGTCAAGAAATACTTATTATGAAAATCAAAAATTATAGATTGATGAAAAAGAGATAATTAGAAAAATATAAGATATTAATAAGAAAAGAATATACTAAAAAGTAAATTTTCTAATTAAAGTAAAATGAATATCTCAAAAAGTTATTCTAGAATCAAACCAAGAAACAGCTTCAGAGACAACTGAAATCTCCAAATAGAGTCAAAAAAGATCAGAACATATGATAATTGTGAAAAAACTTTACAATTAGTTAAACTTTAATAAGAGAAAAATTAGAGTTAGAAAAAGAAAAAAAAATTCAAGAGAAGATATAAAAAAAACACTCATTTAAAGTTAAACTCAACATAATAACAAAATCTAGTTCAGGTTGTCAGTATTCTAGCACAATATTAAAATAGATTCACAATGATATGAAGTATTAAAGAAATATATTCAATATTGCTAAAATCTAATAAATTACTCTAAAAATCAACAATGTCTAAAGAATCAAAGTAAACAATTTCAAATCAAAAAAGGACTTCTATACAAAAAAAACTCTAAGAATTCAAACAGCTTAATAAAATACTACAAGTTCAGAAATTAGAGCTGATATTAGTCTAAGTATATGATCATTTATTAGGAGCTCACTTAGGAAAAGATATTATATTCAACAAGCTTTACAATTATTACTATTAGCCCCAAATTTATAATAATATAAAAAATTATATAAAAACATGTCAAAGATACTAACAATGCAAGAACAGGAAGTCTAACAAGCTATTATATCTAATACCTATGGGAGCTTCTTTTCATAGAGTAGAGATAGATATAGTAGGTCTCTTATTTATAATGCTACAAAATAATCAGTACATTGTAGTAGCTACAGATTACATGACTAAGTAGTCTGAAGTATGAGTAATACCTAAGGACAATGCAGAGAAAGTGCCAAAATTTATCTATGAAGATATTATATGCTACTATCCCTTAGATTGTAGACTAATGCAGACAAATTTGTCTGTGTTTTTGCATTTATTCAGCTCTGATTTACTTTTTTAAAATACAAAAATATTAAAAAAATAATTATAAATAATAAAATTTGAAAATAAGGATTATCTTTTTGCAGTATTTGTTTTTAGGAAAATTTTAATACTCACTGGAGGTAAACTTCACTGGATCACGTGACACTATAACATGTTACACAAAGTATAGTTGAATATGGATATGACAAATCAATAGGTGTGACAAATAATTACTGATTAACATAATATATTACTTATTCGTCATACCCAATAATTCATCATGCTCACATGTGAATAGAAAGGACATTAATAATTAAAACTATTAGAAGTAATCTATCGCTTTCAATATTAAAACTATTAGAAGTAATCTATCATTTTTAATTTATAGTAATAGAGTTAATATGCTTCAGCTATCACCTCCGCTACATTCAATAATACTAAATTTACTTTTATAGAAATATCTTATTCTAACTATTAGAGTAGTAGAAGCACTTATTGAAACACTGTTAAAAGTTAATCTATCCTTTTAATAACTAACAGATTAAAATATTATAGTAATCGCTATGCTTTGGCTATCGCCTCCGCTTCACTCAATAATACTAAACCTACAAGAAAATAATACTTTTATTAAAATACCCTTATCCTAACTATTAGAGCGGGTTACTTTTTTGTGAGCTAGACTACAACATTGCATACATATTAAATTAATACAGTAATAAAGTATAATGATTGTTATATATACCTGATTTCTGTTATAATTATGACATATTATTCATTTTCTTTATCTATTGTACTAGCAAATAGACATTTTTTTTGATAATGACCTGGGTTTTTACATAATAAGTATTTGCATTGCTGTTTTAAGACTACTTCTTTACTATTATCTTGAATAACATTCGTAATTTCATTCATTATCTTTTTTCTTTTTGATATTTTCGCAAAACCTTTAATTCTTTTTTTACAGAGAGCACTATGAATTTTAGTAACTTTTGGACTAGTTAATTGATCAATTAAATGTTGTTGCAATAGAATTATTTCACTAGTATCTTGTGTAAAATTATCATCTTTTGCACTAATACTGTTGTTAGTTTCTTCTATTACGTCTTTATGCTTCGTTTGATTAGCTGCAATAAAATCTTTCAATATTTGAACCAATTCAGCATCTTTATTAGTTGCCAAGGCGATATTAATAGCAGTTTTGGCTGCTGAAAAAGCAATTCCATATCAAATTTCTTGAAATGATAAAGACCAAAATGATTCCTCTATTACTTATTGCAAGTCTTTTTGTTGCTCAGCAAGTGGAAAATATGATACCAAAAAAAATGTAGATCAAAATTTACACCGTTTGCATGGTAATATGAAAACCAATTGTGAATGGTATTGTAATTTTACCTTTCCCAAAACAACAAAACAAATATCATGTACAATATTAAATGACAATCATAATCATGAATTAAATCCCAGTCAAATAGCTGATATTGTCTCTAGATATCGTTGACTTAATGATGAAATGGTTCAAGAATTAAAGTTTCTTACTAACTGTAAAGTAGCACCAATTATACAGTTAGAGATACTTAAGAAAAAATATCCACATCATGTTTTTCATAAACAAGATATTTATAATGCAATTTACAAAAGCTGTAATAGTAGTAATGAATTAAATTCTGATTCTGATTCTGGCTCATTCCTTAATGCACTTTTGGAAAAAAAAGTTCAAGATGAAAATTAGAAGGTATTTGATCAGCATACTAGTAATGAACGTCATTTGTCAGGTGTTTTTTGGATGTCTCTATCACAGCAAGAATTGTATAAGCAATTTTATGATGTTGTTTTAAACGATAATACATATAAAACTAATAAGTATAACATGTATTTGAGTGTATTCATGATAAGAGATAATTATGGAAGGTTTCAAAATGTAGCAAATGCATTAGTAGAGGATAAAATGGCATCAACATATAAGTAGATCTTGCAATGTTTATTGAAGGCAAATGATGATCTTGTTCTGAAATCATTTTGAACTGACTCTAAGCCAGATTTAATAAGCGCTGTTTCTCAGGTTTTTTCAACAATAACCTATTTTTATTGTCTTTTTCATATCTGGCAGAACATTATTAAGCACCTTAAAATGAAGTTAGATTCAAAGTTTTATTCT